ACACACGAGTGCACACCCACACACGAGTGCACACCCACATGCACGTGCGTGCACACTCAGATATTTTACTGTCTTAGTCATTTCCTATTGCTGTGAGGAGACACCATGACCAAAGCAACTCCTAGAAGAAAACGTGTCATCGGGGCTCACGGTTTCAGGGGGTCAGAGCTGGCGACCGTCACGGTGGGCAGCATGGCAGCAGCAGGCAAACACGGCACCACAGGCTGCCAGCTCATGTCTGACCCGCAGCAGGAGGCAGAAAGAGCTAGGAGGGAATGGCGTGGCCTCTCTTGCTGCTGTTTAAGCTTCCTGTTGATTCTCTGTGAATTTCACGTGGTGCACCCCAATCCCACTCACCCCCAGCCCTTTGCCCCCACCCTCAGCCCTGCAACCTCCCCAGGAGAAAATCAATCAAACAAAACATCTCATCCCAGCGTGTCACTCAGTACAGCCTTCCGTGCACACTTCTTTGCTTGTAAATGTTCATTGCAGTGAGTCATGGGCCTGGCTGGAGGCCTCTGGCTTCTGTCACACTGTCAACACGGATCCTCACCGGGACTCCTCTCGGCTACCCTGCCATTGCCCTGTGTCATGGACATCCTGCAGCTCTGGGTCTGCAGGACCAGCCTCTTCACGTGTTCCAGCAGTTCACAGATGGGGTAGATGTTGGGTGGGCCGACTCACAGCCCTGGAGCTAGGCCTGGGTGGTGGCTGACCTGTTCAGCCACCTGCTCTCCGGCGCCCGCACCACTAAGGTGAGCTCTCCAGCACTGCCCCGTGCTCACCCAGTGCCACAGCCAGCACGGGCAGAGCCGGGTCTCAGCACTCTCATGCTCTCGAGCTCTTACACCCAGCTCACCCACACCTTTGCCACCGGGCCAGCTCTTCTGTGCTGCCTGGGGCCAAGCACTGCAGCGGGGAGGGGCAGGGCCTTCTGCTCTCATGACCCTGGGGTCAGCTCTCCCACCTGCCACAGGCGCTGAGGCAGCTCTCCCTCACCCATGCCACCACCGCATGGCAGGCAAGGGCGTAGCCATGGACCCAGATGTGGCCCTCTGCAGCAACAGCATGGGCTGGGACCTCACTGTGGCCTCAGGAGGCAGAGCAGGCTGCTCACACCAGGCTGTTCCTCTCCCCCCTCCTGTCTCCAGTTCTGCCTCTGCTCAGAGAGCTCCAACCATTCTGCTTCTCTTCCTCTCCCATCTCTCTAGCTCATAGTGGCTCCCTCTGCGGGTGGGTCACGAGGGGGGCCTCTGGGTGTCTTTCCAGTGTGGACTTCTGCATCCTCTAAGCCACCCCTAGTGACACACCTACTCCAGCAAGCCACGCCTTCTAACCCTTCCCAAAGAGTTTCAGCAACTGGGGACCAAGTATTGAAATGCATGAGCTTAAGGGGACCATTCTCATTCAAACCACCACAGTGACAGTGCCCAGAATTTGCTCTATAAGGGGACCCACTTAAGGGCCCCTGTCCGGAGGCCACCGGATAGGATACCCAGGCCCTCTATTCCAGCTCTTTGGGAGCACCCACCTGCTCACCCACACAATGTGACTTAAATTGTGGCCCCACATAGGGAACCTGGGCTTTCTGCTCACTAAGCACATTCTCTGCCACCGAGGTCTAACACGGCCTCTTCAGACACTGAAAGAAAAAAAGAATTCGCTTTTGGGTCTGGAGAGACGGCCGGGGGGTTAAGAGTGCTTGCTGCTCTTGTAGAGGAGCTGAGTTCAGTTCCCAGCACCCATGCTGCGAGCGAGGCTCACACAGTCCGTAGGCCTAGGTCCAGGGAACCAACGGAGGTAATTATCTGTCCTAATCATTCTGAAATGTCACAGGTGAAAATTTTCAGAACCATGAATTAAGCGCTCCTGGCACTGTTTTACACATGGAGGAAACTGGGCAGGTAATGCTGGGAGCCAAGCAGTAATGAAATAACTCCTGGGTGTCTAGCGCTGCAGAGAAGCCAGGGTTCAACTGGCAGCTCCCACTTGCCCTCCGCCCTCCTCCGCTCTGCCCACGGCCCATCAGCCAGGTCTGACTGCACTCATGAACACACCTACACTTACATGAACCCCCTCGGCCATTCTAAACAGCCCGTGGACGCAGGCATCAGCCTCTCAGCCTCCCTCTTATTTCTGCGGGGCAGGCCTTGACTGCGCTGTGAATGCGTTGCGAGCGCAGCATCCTCCTGAGCCGCCAGCAGGGGGCGCCCACAAACACTTGCTGGAGCTCTACGCAGCCAGGCAGCCTCACTACCTCCGACCCAGAAAGGAAAGGGCTTCCTCCCTCTGACTGACTGCCAGCCAGCCCAGGCTCATGTACAGGACATTTCTGAAGGTGACTTGGCGTTTGGCAAGGACAGCTGTACGCTGCCAGAATGTACGCTGACCAGCAGACATTGCCTCGTCTGCTTCTGGCTGTGTGGAATTTTGCAGCTGTCTTCTTTTCTGCAGAGCCAATCTCCCAGAACCGCCTGGGACTAAAGGAAATGCTGGGCTGCCCAGCAGGGTGCCTGGACACGCAACACAACCACAAGTGTTACTTTCAAATCCTAGAGGGAGAAGGAACAGGTGGAAAGCTAGCCCCACTCTCCTGAGTCTGGGGTCAGTTGCAGCAGCTTGGGAGATGTTGATGACCAAGTCTCTCCCCCACTTAGTAAGCGCAGGTTTGCACTGCCCAGGGTAGTTCCTTGACTGAAGCTCCTCCCCCCCCTCAAGACCCTAGGGTCCCTGCACTCCCCACAGGCCTCTCCCTACTCTGTATGGCCACTCTGTGTCAGGAGGCAGAGGCAAAGGCTGGGGTCTGTTTGTTTGGAGAGGGCATGCCTGCCACTGCAGGGTCAGAGGAGGACTCTCGGGATTCAGTGCTTTTTCTTCCAACATGGAGGTGGAGTCTGGAGGTGGATGTCAGACAGTCTTGCTTGGTGGCAAGTGCCTTTATCCCACCGAGCAAGATCCAGGGAAAGGCAGGCTCCCCGTGCCCAGCAGTGGAGGAGACAGAGCTGTGGTGTGGGCATAGCTGTGGAGGTGTTGGCAGAGAGCATTAACTGGAGTAGGACGTTCCTGAGAGCAGCTCTATGGAAGAGCAGACAGATGATCCAGCCGCTGGGTCTTCGTTCTCAGCACAATAGCTGGCCGATCCTTTCCCTCCTAGGTTCCTCCAGGAGTCCTGTGGGCCTTGACCTTGGACAAGTTTCATCTTGCACATTCATTCCCCTAAGAACTTGTGGTGGGCCACTCCTGCTGTGTTTGTTTTGTCCACGGCTGGCCCTTCGCCTGGTTCTAGGACAGATTGCCCAAGCCCCTGAGAGCAGTTCAGGGAATACTGGGAAAGGCCCACTGCAAACAGAGTTTGGTTTCAGAAGTCAGGTGAGGGCAGCAGTGGGGCTGTACGAACTGTGAACTGTGAACTGTGAACTGTGAACTGTGAACTGTGAACTGTGTACTGTGTATGAACTGAATGGCCAAAAGAAAAGGGAGAGTGGGAGGGAGGGAGAGAGGGAGGGAGGGAGGGAGAGAGGGTGGGAGGGAAGGAAGGCTATACTCTCATGTCAAAGATTCTATAAAGCCAAATGACTGAACTTAGAGATTTCAGGGATTAAAATGTTTCCAACCAGAGCCCAAGTATCTAGGTGCTATTTTTAGTTCCTTTGAAAGCCACCAGCTGCCCATCCCCTTGTCTAACCTAATCTTGTGACTATTGTATTCCTAGCAGACCACCAGGTCTCCAATAATCAAGAAGCAAGAGGCCACCGGTAGCATCTGAAACCAAGAACAGAGAGTGTAACATTACTTTCCTGTCACTGAGACAGAGCACCATGGCCAGGGCAACTTGCCGAAAGAAGGGGTTCTTTGGGGCTCACAGACAGAGCGGGCGGCCTGGGAGCTGAGGATGAGGACTCATAGTCTGAACCACAAGCTGGAAGCCAACAGTGAAAACAGGATGGTGGGAGGCTTTGAAACCTCACAGCCTTCCCTCAGTAACTCACCTGCCTGTGCCCCACCCAACAGTGTTTTTAGCAAACAGATTGATGTATGACTTTCTTTTATAGCTTATAAAACCC